CCGACTAATACAACAACATATAGTTATATAATTACTACACACACACACACACATATATATATATATATATATAGTATATATGACATTTTCCATAATTGTGTATATTATAGGAACAACGAATATACATGTTATCTCTTACATCTCGTCTGCTCACTACGCGAGTTCCAACTATGGCCAAAACAGTTCTATTGTATGGCCTAAGTGCACATCCACCGGCAAATACTGGGGGACACCAAGGATATGTAAAGTATTTCACACATCAGGATTGGGTCGATGAGATGTGGGTTTTACCTGTATACAAGCACATGTACTTGGAAAAGCAAAATCTGATATCATTTGAACACAGATTCAGGATGTCCCAAATAGCATTTGAAGAGAATCGAGACGTCAATGCAGGCAACAAGGCCAAGGTTTGGCGTGTGAATGTGATACTCAGTTTATACATACGTACATTCACACACACACACACACGCACACGCACACTCACACACACACATATATATATATAAATAAACGTATATACATATACATACAATTTTGAATATAAAATACACACACTCACTCACACTCACTCACACAAACACACACACACACACACACATATATATATATATATACATATAAGTATATAAAATATATATATGATTATATATATGTATACATACATATATATATATATATATATATATAATAAAAGTACATATATATAAACATACATACATACACTTTTAATCTGAAGGTATCTATGCTCAATTACGCAGAAGTGGCGTAGATATGTGGTTATGCGCTGTATCTGGCATATTCCTCCTAAATGTTTGCATATGTGGCCGAGTTAAGTGACTAGTCGCTTAGTTCTTTAGTACAATATACTACAGACGTGTCTGTTGGGCCTCTGTGTGACAGAGTGTTAGCGCATCAGACATTTATACGCTTTGTGTGTAATTTAGTATTACATATGGAATCATGGTGTGTAGTCATGGTTTTTTATCTGTATATTGACTTCTCAAAGGAAGTTGTACCTTTGTTCAGACGCTTCAATTGTGTTCTCTTACGACTTTTGAGCGTTCGATCCACGACCCTCTACCTTTCAGGTCTTGGACACAGAAAAAGTATGTATAGAGCAGGCCATACAAGACGCATTGCTACAGGGTAGTGATTTGAGCAAAGTCAGGGTTGGTACATTCCAAATTGTGGAATATTTGAAAGAGAAGCATCCGGACACTCACTTCTGTTTCGTCATGGGCGGGGATACTTTTAATGACCTACTCGATGGTATGTCGGGACGGCTTCTATGGGGTTTGATGGTTTTATAACATAATTCACAACATTGTACATGGATTGTGCTGACATCACGGCTGCAACAATTGTGCATGTCCTGTGTATGGAGTGCGAAAGGTCCAGCGATATTTGCTAGAGAGATCTTTGTATCACTATATATAGTAATAGTTATTCACATATTGAATTAAAGTTGTGTATTTTAATGATGCTGTACATATCTTTACACACTTGATGTAAATTCTGACTAGATATCGCAACGCAAATACACAGGTAAATGGACAAATACAGAGGAGCTGAGAGCGGCCGTAGGAATTGTGCACATTCCCCGTATCGGATACGAGGTGCCAGCGGAAGCCCTGGGAACACTCTTACCACCTCCAGTGGGCACAGCCACATCGGTTGACATTCCAAGCATGACAGATGTCTCCAGTACAAAGATACGAAATCTGGCGGCCAAGGGCGATTACGAAGGCGTTGAAAAACTGGTAGATCCTAGGGTGGCTGAATACATGCGGGAAAATAAGCTCTACGGATTAAATAGCGGGACGGAAACAAAGGTAGGAGACAAAATAATTATGGTTGGGTTCAGTATATGAGGAGTTCGGTGGCAAACGAGCGTACTTGAGAGAATAAGTCATATAGGTATACAGTGTGGAGGATGCATGGGTAGGTAGCGGAATATTGCTTTGTGGGGCCAGCATATGTCGTACCTAATTTGAGATTTGGCTGTCATGTGAGCATCGCATAGGACTGTGTCAGGACATACGGTGCGATTGATTGACGGATACGTTGTTTTGGTTGAAGTGCTACACGCGATACACACATACATGTGTATATTCTGGTTTATGCACTATTCTAGATATTGAAATCTGTTACTGTCGCTTTGAGAGAGATTTTAAGTGTATGTTTGGCATTCACTATAATGGCGTACTGGTGAGTTTATTGAAATATCTGTGCGCAATAATTAAATACGAGACACCGAATATATGTGTCGAGGCGGGTGGGATTATACAAAATCACAGAATGTCATCGAGGTCTGGTCCATTTGCATATTCCTAATTGCGCACGTGTTCGATATTGAAGAATGAGAATCAGAATGTGAAGTGACATACCTCTTTACATTGTGTTCCAAGGCCGACGCTCGCATTGGCTATAGGGCTATCAATTGCACCAGAATTGCAGCACAACATTCGATACTAAAGACTAATTGAATTGCAGAAGATCCAATATATTCGAGTTTGGCGGTTTCTTGTTCCTTGTTGCGAAACTTCTGATTTTCCGATTTGTTGTCTCCTGTAGGAAAAATCCATAGATAAGCGGACAACAGCCGAAAGCCAAACAAGGAACAATGGGAAAAGCGAGGCCAAGGAGGCGACTGATGGTACGAGGTGGTCCAAAAGGATAAAGAGGGACTCACAGTAGTCGAACTTAACCAAATAGTGCAGTTAGATAGAAATAAAACAATGCTGTCGAATATAAATATGAGGGAACGGTATTGTAGAGCTTCTCAACAAATGATAGTCAATCAGGTAACGGGATGAAGGGACGGGGTACATATGTAGGTATATAGGCGAGAACTCGTATACATATGTAAATTAAATATCGAATACTTCCACATGTGATCATTAGTTGATCTAAAAATAAATTTACGCCGATTGTTAGCCGTTATATATCAGCATACGTTTTCATACCGGTTTCACATGTAAGGTACAGGAGCCCCCACAACCACAAGCAGTGTTCATTGATTTCATTTCTCGAGTTGCGAGAGGATGGCAATAACCCGATTTTCGCTTGCACGGGCTTAGTTCATAATTTAACTCGAGTCTTTGATAGCTGATCGCCGACTATAAAAATTTAACTTGTCAGAAAAATTGTCGGAGTGGTTTTGGACGTTCAGCCAGACCCAAAACAGTTCCTTTCTCAAGATAATTGCACATTTGTGCGCTTACGACCTATTGACGACAAAATTAAAAGGTACAAATCGCTCCGACTTCTGTCTATTTCACTGCAGTTTTTCTTTTCCTGAAATGCAACTGCAATCCATCAGTGTACAGAAACTGCGCCTCCAGCAGTAGTGCTCCAAAGATTTGTATTACGGTCGTATGCGCTATATATAATTAGGACGTTCTGAACCCAAATTGAAATCGAATATACTGCGCTAGTTCTTAATGTGAGTTCTTGCTGTGTAGATTTGTTGTGCTTCACTTACTTGCTTCGTGCCTGAAGTATGCATACCAGTGGCCCGGGTGCCCTCATTTCCGGTCACTCGACCATGAACATGCAGCGGGGACTACACCTACACATTAGTTAGAAATAGAGACCCTATGGCACACTGAAGCTACTTCCCTCTGATATAATATCCGGACCTAAGTTTCAACGTTAGAAATATATTGTACATATTCGTTTCTGACCTGCGCAAACAAGTGAGTTGAATGTCCGCAGCTCTCTCAGCCTAAAACAACAACAATGCAACATCGCAACCCATATACAATTTACGTATGTAAAGCTATTCTGGAGAATTAAGTTGTGCTATTCAAATATCTAACTCCTTTGTCCTTTTCGAACTCCCCGCAAGTACTTTATAGAAGCTTTTGTCCCTCTTTGGCGTAGTCAAGGATGATTCCGCAGCCCAGACGACTTCAACTCAAACAAAAGATTGCAGTTCATATACGGAATACTAAATATCACCTGAAATTGAGAATTGTGTTCCAGTATACTAATATCATTAACCTCTATCCTGATTCCAAACTACCTTATATTTCTTTACCTGGTGCCTTCGTTTCTGATCAATATATCTAGCGACGAGGCTTTCCACAACCCAGTCAACTCCGCCACAAGCAAACCATCACACTTTATAAATAGAAAGAAGAAAATGCGATCTTTGGACGAACGAGAATCGGGTTCAGGTGTCTAATTTTAATACCCTCAGACCTAATTCCTAAATAGACTATATCGCGCTACCTATTGCCTTCATCTCTGATCAATGTATCCAGTGACGTCGGTGTCCACAGCCCAGTCACCTCTAGCACAAACACCACATTACGATCCATATACACCGTACGTGAGCCCAAAGTATACACAACATTGCCCTTTTCTAAACGTTTTGGCATTTTGGGTTGGAAAATCAAACCAGCCTTTTCGGCCGCTTGCTGTACGAGATCCTTGAATGTGGTGGTAGCCGTTTCTGCGTGTAATTTTTCCTTTTGCTTTTGCCGTAATAGGTAAGCCGAGGCCTTCTGTTGTCGTTCCAGCTCCATAAAGTGTGCGTTAGCATGCATAGGTGGTGGGCCCTGTGATTTCATTGGTGGAGGAGAAATTAGAGTATTCAATGGATAGCACGAATCAATAGATCTACTGTATGCAGGAGCTGTCTGATATTGGCCTGGCTCCATGAAGTGCGCGTTGGCATGTATGGGGGAGAGAGGGGCAGTCCCAAAGCTTTGACTGGTGAAGTATGGTCGAAATCAATCCACAAAAAGCACATTTTCGGGTTGTCTGCTCGAACTGAAAGATGTATGTAGATGCGTTCTGTCGGTGTTGAAGCCATTACGTGCGCGTTGGCATGCAAACGGGACGGGCCGTAAAAGGGTAGACATCTATAAATAGTACAAAAACGATTGTATACAAAAAGCATAACACGTATGCAGGTGCTTTCTGTTGATACGGTAGAGTTAGTTGGTACGCGTTGGCATGCCTATGGGACAAACCATGTTTCCCAATTGTTTAAGGCTACGAGAGACTAATCTATAAATATGTCTGTACGCGTATGTTGATGACTTCGGTTTCACCAAAATACAAATGGCATATACAAAGAACTGCCTGTACGTTGGTGCACGATTCGCTCTTCTACGGGCAAGTCTATAACCTCACTACGGTGCGAAATATAAAAACAAGATCTTAACTACCGCTATAAACTAAGTTTGATTTCTATCACAAGCCAGGTTTTGCTTACCGTAAAATTCGTCGGCCTGCCAGGGAAAGAGACGGCCTGGTTCATAAGATCTAAAGCGCATTTAAACTGTACTTGCATGGGTGCGTGTGCAGCCAGCTCTGGAGGAAATAGGCCCTTCCAACCAAGATACCACCGAGTTACCTGCGAAATCAAGCAACGTATGTATTAGTGTCTATGAATAAGATATAGATGTTGTGTATCAGTGATCGAAGTCTACATATATCACATATACACACACACAGACACACAGACATATATATATATACATACATACATACACACATACATACACACATACATACATACGTACGTACATACATACATACACACAC